AGTTACCTTTCAAACCCTTACGTTCACTAGATGAATATATTTCCTACCTTTCTATTTGAAGTGAGACCACTAGATTCCTGTGTACTATGCGAGATCTGAGCGCTTCCGTTCTCCCTGGCATTTGCACTCTAAGTTCCCATACGACCGACCTGGCCAATAGCACCATTTTCCTATACATATGCATTAGATTCCTTTCGAACCTTATTAGCTCACTAGATTTATATATTTCCCACCTTCTGATCGAGTGAGACCGCTAGATTCCCTCTACTTTTTGAGAAATGAGCGTTTCCGTTCTCCTTGGCCCTACCTTGCACTATAAGTGCGAAATGCCGGACCAGACTGGCCGATGCACCATTTTCTCTACACATGTGCGTTAGTTACCTTTCAAACCCTTACGTTCACTAGATGAATTTATTTCCTACCTTCTATTTGAGTGAGACCACTAGATTCCGTGTACTATGCGAGATCTGAGCGCTTCCGTTCTCCAGGCATTTGCACTCTAAGTTCCCATACTGACCGACCTGGCCAATGCACCACTTTCCATATACATATGCATTAGATTCCTTCGAACCTTATTAGCTCACTAGATTATATATTTCCCACCTTCTGATTGAGTGAGACCGCTAGATTCCCTTTACTTTTTGAGAAATGAGCGTTTCCGTTCTCCCTTGGCCCTACTTGCACTATAAGTGCGAAATGCCGGCCAGACTGGCCGATGCACCATTTTCTCTACACATGTGCGTTAGTTACCTTTCAAACCCTTACGTTCACTAGATGAATATTATTTCCTACCTTCTATTTGAGTGAGACCACTAGATTCCGTGTACTATGCGAGATCTGAGCGCTTCCGTTCTCCCAGGCATTTGCACTCTGAGTTCCCATACTGACCGACCTGGCCAATGCACCACTTTCCATATACATATGCATTAGATTCCTTCGAAACCTTATTAGCTCACTAGATTTATATATTTCCCACCTTCTGATCGAGTGAGACCGCTAGATTCCCTTTACTTTTTGAGAAATGAGCGTTTCCGTTCTCCTTGGCCCTACTTGCACCTATAAGTGCGAAATGCCGGCCAGACTGGCCGATGCACCATTTTCTCTACACATGTGCGTTAGTTACCTTTCAAACCCTTACGTTCACTAGATGAATTTATTTCCTACCTTCTATTTGAGTGAGACCATCTAGATTCCGTGTACTATGCGAGATCTGAGCGCTTCCGTTCTCCCTGGCATTTGCACTCTAAGTTCCCATACTGACCGACCTGGCCAATGCACCATTTTCCATATACATATGCATTAGATTCCTTTAGAACCTTATTAGCTCACTAGATTTATATATTTCCCACCTTCTGATCGAAGTGAGACCGCTAGATTCCCTTTACTTTTTGAGAAATGAGCGTTTCCGTTCTCCTTGGCCCTAGCTTGCACTATAAGTGCGAAATGCCGGCCAGACTGGCCGATGCACCATTTTCTCTACACATGTGCGTTAGTTACCTTTCAAACCCTTACGTTCACTAGATGAATTGATTTCCTACCTTCTATTTGAGTGAGACCACTAGATTCCGTGTACTATGCGAGATCTGAGCGCTTCCGTTCTCCCTGGCATTTGCACTCTAAGTTCCCATACTGACCGACCTGGCCAATGCACCATTTTCCATATACATATGCATTAGATTCCTTTCGAACCTTATTAGCTCACTAGAATTATATATTTCCCACCTTCTGATCGAGTAAGACCGCTAGATTCCCTTTACTTTTTGAGAAATGAGCGTTTCCGTTCTCCTTGGCCCTACTTGCACTATAAGTGCGAAATGCCGGCCAGACTGGCCGATGCACCATTTTCTCTACACATGTGCGTTAGTTACCTTTCAAACCCTTACGTTCACTAGATGAATTTATTGCCTACCTTCTTTTTGAGTGAGACCATTAGATTCCGTGTACTATGCGAGATCTGAGCGCTTCCGTTCTCCCTGACATTCGCACTCTAAGTTCCCATACTGACCGACCTGGCCAATGCACCATTTTCCATATACATATGCATTAGATTCCTTTCGAACCTTGTTAGCTCACTAGATTTATATATTTCCCACCTTCTGATCGAGTGAGACCGCTAGATTCCCTCTACTTTTTAAGAAATGAGCGTTTCCGTTCTCCTTGGCCCTAGTTGCACTATAAGTGCGAAATGCCGGCCAGACTGGCCGATGCACAATTTTCTCTAAACATGTGCGTTAGTTACCTTTCAAACTCTTAGGTTCACTAGATGAATATATTTCCTACTTTCTATTTGAGTGAGACCACTTGATTCCGTGTAATATGCGAGATCTGAGCGCTTCCGTTCTCCTTGGCATTTGCATTTTAAGTTCTGATGCCGACCGACCTGGCCAATACACCATTTTTTCTATACATGTGCGTTGAATACATTTCAAACCTTTTTAGCTAACTAGATGTATATATTTCCCACCTTCTGATCGAGTGAGACCGTTAGATTCCCTCTACTTTTGAGAAACGAGCGTTTCCGTTCTCCCTGGCCCCACCTGCACTATGAGTGCGAAATGCCGGCCAGACTGGCCGATGCACCATTTTCTCTACACATGTGCGTTAGTTACCTTTCAAACCCTTACGTTCACTAGATGAATCTATTTCCTACCTTCTATTTGAGTGAGACCACTAGATTCCGTGTATTATGCGAGATCTCAGCGGTTCCGTTCTTCCAGGCATTTGCACTCTAAGTTCCCATACTGACGGACCTGGCCAATGCACCACTTTCCATATACATATGCATTAGATTCCTTCCAAACCTTATTAGCTCACTAGATTTATATATTTTTCACCTTCTGATTGAGTGAGACCGCTAGATTTCCTTTACTTTTTGATAAATGGGCGTTTACGTTCTCCCTGGCCCCACCTGCACTATAAGTGCGAAATGCCGGCCAGACTCGCCGATGCACCATTTTCTCTACACATGTGCGTTAGTTACCTTTCAAACCCTTACGTTCACTAGATGAATTTATTTCCTACCTTATATTTGAGTAAGACCACTAGATTCCGTGTACTATGCGAGATCTGAGCGCTTCCGTTCTCCCAGGCATTTGCACTCTAAGTTCCCATACTGACCGACCTGGCCAATGCACCACCTTCCATATACATATGCCTTAGATTCCTTCTGAACCTTATTAGCTCACTAGATTTATATATTTCCCACCTTTGATCGAGTGAGACCGCTAGATTCCCTTTACTTTTTGAGAAATGAGCGTTTCCGTTCTCCTTGGCCCTACTTGCACTATAAGTGCGAAATGCCGGCCAGACTGGCCGATGCACCATTTTCTCTACACATGTGCGTTAGTTACCTTTCAAACCCTTACGTTCACTAGATGAATTTATTTCCTACCTTCTATTTGAGTGAGACCACTAGATTCCGTGTATTATGCGAGATCTCAGTGGTTCCGTTCTTCCAGGCATTTGCACTCTAAGTTCCCATACTGACCGACCTGGCCAATGCACCACTTTCCATATACATATGCATTAGATTCCTTCCAAACCTTATTAGCTCACTAGATTTATATATTTTTCACCTTCTGATTGAGTGAGACCGCTAGATTTCCTTTACTTTTTGATAAATGGGCGTTTCCGTTCTCCCTGGCCCCACCTGCACTATAAGTGCGAAATGCCGGCCAGACTCGCCGATGCACCATTTTCTCTACACATGTGCGTTAGTTACCTTTCAAACCCTTACGTTCACTAGATGAATTTATTTCCTACCTTATATTTGAGTGAGACCACTGTCAAACATTATATATGTTATGCTTGTGTAGGCTACAGTGGGTTAGCCTATAGGGGGTACACAATTCTAGGGTTTCCTACTTGTACTCATTTCACTGCTAGTTCTTCATTCCTGTTCGCTTATTCTCACATGGTATCAGAGCGGGTCCTTCTAAGGACCGTTTTTTGGGCCCACCGAAGCGCGCCCCGAGGCGCGATTTTTTTTGCGGCTCAGCCGCCTCTACTGACGCGGCCCCGCCGCCCTCCCTTACGCGGCCCCGTCGCCGGCTCTCACGCGGCCCCGCCGCCGACTCTGTCGCGGCCCCGCCCCGGCCTTTACGCGGCCCCGCCCCGGCCTTCACGCGGCCCCGCCGACGGCTCTGTCGCGGCCCCGCCCAGGCTCTTACGCGGCCCCGCCGCCTACTCTCGCGCGGCCCCGCCCCGGCTTTCACGCGGCCCCGCCAACGGCTCTCTCGCGGCCCCGTCCCGGCTCTTACGCGGCCCCTGCCCCGGCTCTTACGCGGCCCTGCCGCCGGCTCTCTTGCGGCCCCGCCCCGGCTCTCACGTGGCCCCGACGTCGGCCCTCTCCAGGCCCCGCCGCCGGCTCTCTTACGGCCCCGTCGCCGGCCCTGACGCGGCCCCTGCCCCGGCTCTCAAGCGGCCCCGCCGCCGGCTCTTTTGCGGCCCCGCCGCCGGCTCTGAAGCGGCCCCGCCCCGGCTCTCACGCGGCCCCGCCGCCGGCCCTCACGCGGCCCCTACCCGGCTCTCTTGCGGCCCCGCCGCCGGCTCTGAAGCGGCCCCGCCCCGGCTCTCACGCGGCCCAGCCGCCGGCCCTCACGCGTCCCCGCCCCGGCTCTCTCACGCGGCCCCGCCGCCACACCTGCAGCAGTCGGGCAGCAGTGCAGCCGAACGGCCCGGGAGCCGAGCCGCCCAACGCCGAGCCGCCCGGGACCCGAGCCGCCCTGCACCCGAGCCGCCCTGCCGCCGAGCCGCCCGGGGAGCCGAGCCGCCCTGCACCCGAGCCGCCCTGCCGCCGAGCCGCCCGGGAGCCGAGCCGCCCTGCGCCCGAGCCGCCCAGCCGCCGAGCCGCCCGGGAGCCGAGCCGCTGTGCACCCGAGCCGCCCGGTCGCCGAGCCGCCTTTCTGCAGAGCTGCACGACCTGCCCTGCCTGGTGAGCACAGTCCCACTGTCACTGCGAGCTCTTTCCCTACTGCTTGCACTGCGTCGCTGTCGTCGCCATGGCTACCCCTAGTGTCCTAGCGTTTGACGCTGAGGGTCGCGCCATTGATTTTGAGGTCTGGTTAGACGACCTGCAGCTGTTCTTACAGTGCGACAGGGCTGACGGCCTTTCTCTCTTTGACCTCACCTCTGGCGCCTCTCCTGCTCCTGCTGCTGATGCTGATCCCACTGTCCGCTCTCAGTGGGCCACCCGCGATGCTGTTGCACGTCTTGCTGTGCGTCGCCACCTCCCTACCTCTGAGCGTGCGCACTTTAGTCAGTACAAGAGTGCTCAGACCTTGTACGACGCTGTAGTTGCGCGCTACTCCTCCCCTGCCACTGCTGCACTGAGCCGTCTCATGCTTCCCTACCTCTTTCCTGACCTCTCTGCCTTTCCCACTGTCGCTGACCTCATTACGCACCTCCGCACTAGTGACACTCGCTACCGCGCCGCCCTTCCTGCTGAGTTCTGCGCTAAGAACCCACCCCCCATGTACATAGCTCTCTACTACGTAGTCGCGCGCCTCCCTGACTCCCTTCGCGTCGTCAGGGACCACTTTCTCGCAGTCTGTCCCACCACCCTCACCGTCGACCTCCTCGAGAAGGCCCTCCTCGCAGCGGAGAAGAGCATAGTCGCTGTAGGTGCTTCTCGTGGTGACCCTCGCACCCCCATCTTTGAGGGGTGCTCTCCTTCCCCCTTGCTGCCCTCTGTTGCCTCTGCTGCTGCTGCCGACCTGCTTGGTCTTGAGTCGGTCGGCGCGGCGTCTGCCCCTAGTGGGAGACGTCGCTCCAGCAAGGGCAAGGGGGGCAAGGGCGCGGGTGGAGCTGGAGGGGGCGGTGGCGGTGGCGGCGGTGGCGGCGGAGGGAGTGGGGGTGGCGGCGGGACTAGTGGCGGGGGTGGTGGTGGTGGTGGCAGCAGCGGCGGAGACGGTGGTGGTGGTGCCAGCGGTGGTGGTGGAGGCAGCGGCGGAGGTGGAGGCGGCGGAGGTGGAGGCGGTGGAGGCGGCAGCGGAGGAGGCGGTGGTGGTGGAGGAGGTGGAGCTGGTCGGGGTGGTACCCAGCAGCGTAGCGGCGGTGGTGGTGGCCAGCGCTCGCAGCGGCAGCAGCAGCAGCGCTCGCGGGACATCCCTCCGCCTCAGCAGCTTCGTGAGTGGTACGCTGGGCGTCAGAGGGGTGGGGGTACTGGTCCCTGCACCTACGTTCTTCGTTCCGGCGACCGCGCGGGTGAGCAGTGTGGGGGTGCCCACGCCACCCAGCGCTGCTTTGGCCGCCTGACGGACGCTTGGCGTCAGCAGTTCCCTGGGGCTAGTGAGATCCCTCGCTGGGATGAGCTTCTTAGGGCTGGTGTAGCGATCTTTGATCTTGGTTTTGATGCTATCCTTGCTGCTATGTATGCTGTGACTTATAGTGAGGAGAATGAGGGTTATCGGTGTTTCCAACCCGACCCGGGCATTGGTACTGCTGCGCTAGGTGCTTGTGAGGCTGCTGCTATAGGTGCCAGTGCATCTGCGCTCTCAGGTACTGGTGAGACTGCGCTCTCAGGTACTGCGTCGTCCTCGTCCTCCCTCACTTTCACACTTGACTCCGGGGCTTCTCGCTCCTTCTTTCGAGACCGCACTACCCTTACGCCGCTCGGCCGGCCGGTTGCAGTCTCCGGGCTACTCCTCACTCCTCCCACTCCCCCCCGACAGAGGCTCCCCTGCAGACGCTTCACATGGATGTGTGGGGCCCAGCCCCTGTCCGTGGGCAGGGTCACGAGCGCTACTTCCTGTTGGTGGTTGACGACTACTCGCGTTACACCACAGTCCTCCCCTTGCGCAGCAAGGGTGCGGTCACTGAGGTGCTGATCGACTGGATCCGCGAGGCTCGTCTCCAGCTCAGGAAGAGCTTCGGCTCGGGCTTTCCTGTTCTGCGTCTGCACTCGGACAGAGGCGGAGAGTTCTCTTCTCGCCTTCTGCGAGACTACTGTCGTGCACGGGGGATCCGCCAGACCTTCACGCTTCCGGACTCACCACAGCAAAATGGGATTGCTGAGCGCCGCATTGGCATGGTCATGGATGTCGCTCGTACGTCCATGATGCATGCGGCTGCCCCCCATTTTCTGTGGCCGTTTGCGGTGAGGTACGCGGCGCATCAGCTCAACCTTCACCCCCGGGTCTCTCGGCCTGCGATGTCCCCAGCCTTGCTGTGGACGGGGAAGGTTGGCGATGCGTCTGTGTTCCGTGTCTGGGGATCTCGGGCGTTTGTCCGCGACTTGTCTGCGGACAAGCTGTCCCCTCGTGCTGCTCCCTGTGTCTTCCTTGGCTTCCCCACTGACGCCCCAAGGGTGGCAGTTTTACCACCCCTCCTCTCGTCGTGTTCTGTCCTCCCAGGACGTCACGTTCGACGAGTCAGTCCCCTTCTACCGTCTCTTCCCCTACCGCACTCCTTCCCTCCCCCCTCCCCCGGACTTCCTTGTGCCGGTTCCCCCCCCGGTAGACCCCCTCCCCCCTCAGGTTCCTGCCCCCTCAGGTGTGTCCCAGGTAGACGCCGTTGACCCGGTCGAGGTTACTGGTGACTCTGGTGCTGCTGCGGGTGCTGAGCCTGGGGGTGCTGACTCTGGGGGTGCTGTGCGCGGGGGTGCTGAGCCTGGGGGTGCTACTGCTGGGGGTGCTGGGCCTGAGGGTGCTACTGCGGAGGGTGCGGAGCCTGGGGGTGCTGAGCCGGAGGGTGCTGTGCCTGGAGGTGCTGGGTCTGGGGGTGCTGGGTCGGGAGCTGCTGAGCCTGTGGGTGCTGAGCTGGGAGCTGCTGAGCCTGGGGGTGCTGTGTCTGGAGCTGCTGAGCCTGGGGTTTCTCCTGCTGCTGCGTCTCGCCGGGAGCCCCTCTCTCCACAGGAGCTGCGCGAGTGGTTCGCTCGCCGCTGGAGGCGTGCTGCTGAGTCTGGAGGTGCTGCTGGAGCTGGAGCTGGAGCTTCTTCGACCGTCGAGGGTGCGGGTGCTGCCGGTCCCGGAGCTGCTGGACCTGCGGGTCCTCCTGGAGCTGGAGCTGCTGAGGGCGTTGGTGCTGAGCCTACTGCTGTTGGTCCTGCCACTGGAGGTATGGGTGGCGCTGGTGCTGTCGTCGAGGGTGCTGGTGCTGTCCCTGCTGAGTCTGGAGCTGCCGCGCGGCCTCGGCCGTACTTCGTTCCGCTCCTGCAGCAGGTTCTTGGTCTTTCTCCTCCAGTAGAGGGTCCACCGCCTGTCTAGTCGCAGTCCCTGCTGGAGCCTTCCTCTCCACTGCCTGCTCCCTCTCCTTACACTGGTCCTACTGGAGGTCTTGCTGAGCGTCGTGAGCCTGCGTCTCGTCCCGCGTCGCCTGTTCGTGCTGCTCGCGCTAGTGGTCGCAGTTCGCGTCAGCGTCCTCCTCCTGTCCCTGGCACGCACCGGATGTCTTTGCGTCCGTCCACTGCTCCTTTGCGTGCCCCTTTGCCTTCTCCTCCTGAGTCCTCTCTTCCTGCGCTTGCCGACCCTGAGTCGGACTCTCTTCGTGCTGCCAGTCCTACTGTCACGCGTCTGCTTGCTACTGTCGTCACTGACCCCTATTTTGAGTCCACTGCTGCGTCTGCTCTAGTCGCTGAGCTCGTCGACTTTGCTGCTCGCTGTCGTCTCGACTACGCTGCTAGTCTTGTTGCTGAGTCTGCGTCTGTCTGTCCTCCGTCCGTCGGGGGTGAGTGTGCTCTTGGCACGGACGTCCTAGAGGACAGGCAGGAGGAGTTACAGTGTCTAGCGGCTGCTTCACCTCATCTCGCGTCTGTACTGCTTGCCCCTGAGGGAGACCCGGATGCACTAGACATCCCGACTCCGCGTTCTTACGCGGAGGCCTTAGAGGGTCCCTACTCCTCTCAGTGGCAGGCAGCTATGGATGCAGAGATGGCTTCCTGGAAGTCCACAGGCACCTACGTTGACGCGGTTCCCCCTCCTGGGGCGAACATCGTCAGTGGCATGTGGATCTTCAGGGTGAAGCGGCCGCCGGGCTCTCCACCTGTCTTCAAGGCACGGTACGTTGCTCGTGGCTTCAGTCAGCGGCAGGGAGTTGACTACTTTCAGACCTTCTCTCCCACCCCGAAGATGACTACTCTTCGGGTGCTGCTGCACATAGCCGCTCAGCGCGACTACGAGCTTCACTCTCTCGACTTCAGCACTGCGTTCTTGCAGGGTAGCCTGCACGAGGAGATCTGGCTTCGCCGTCCACCTGGCTTCACTGGGACTTTCCCTCCTGGCACCCAGTGGAGCCTCCGACGGCCAGTCTACGATCTCCGCCAGGCACCGCGTGAGTGGCACGACACACTGAGGACTACGCTTGCGGCTCTTGGGTTTGCTCCTTCTACTGCTGACCCGTCGCTGTTTCTTCGCACTGACACTTCCCTGCCGCCGTTCTACATCCTCGTGTACGTCGACGACTTGGTCTTTGCCACAGCGGACACTGCTGGACTCGCCTACGTGAAGTCCGAGCTGCTGAAGAGACACACGTGCACAGACCTGGGTGAACTGCGCAGCTACCTTGGCTTGCAGATCACTCGGGACAGAGCACGCCGCACCATTACCTTGACTCAGTCACACATGGTGCAGCAGGTCCTTCAGCGCTTCGGCTTCACGTACTCCTCGCCTCAGGCCACTCCTCTGCCTACTCGCCACTCACTCTCAGCTCTGCCTTCGGATGAGTCCGTAGAGTCGAGTGGTCCGTATGCAGAGCTTGTTGGCTGCCTCATGTACCTGATGACCTGCACACGACCTGACCTTGCATACCCTCTGAGCATTCTTGCACGCTATGTTGCTCCTAGGAGACACAGACCAGAGCACATGGCTGCAGCGAAGAGGGTATTGCGCTACCTGTGCAGTACGTCGGGCATGGGGCTAGTGCTTGGAGGGCGGAGTCCAGTGGTCCTTACCGGCCACGCGGACGCTTCTTGGGCTGACGACCAGGCTACGCAGCGGTCGTCACAGGGTTACACCTTCAGCCTTGGTTCCGGCTCTGTCTCGTGGCGGTCTACTCGCTCGTTTTCAGTTCTCGGCTCCAGTTGTGAGGCTGAGATCTACGCCGGGGCCATGGCTGCACAGGAGCTTCGCTGGCTCACCTACCTGCTGACTGACCTTGGAGAGCCGCCTCGTTCTCCTCCAGTGCTGTACGTAGACAACAAGGCCATGCTGGCCTTGTGTCGAGAGCAGCGCTTGGAGCACAGAACGAAGCACATTGCTCTCCGCTACTTCCTTGCTCGTGAGCTGCAGCAGCGTGGTCAGTTGCGACTTGCGTACGTGGCCTCTGAGGCCAACACTGCTGATGTGTTCACCAAGGCACTCGCGCCTTGTGACCATCAGCGCTTTTGCACCCAGCTGGGTCTTGTGCCAGTCTTGCCTCACTTGCTCTCCTTTTGACTTCACTTGTACTGTGACATATATATATACCTGCTCTTGCTTGTCTAGTTTTATATATATGTCTGTACTCCTGCATGTGAACTGGCCTCTGGCCCTGCTCTTGTGCTCGGACTGTGTGGTGACTTTTTGATCCACCCTGAGCTTGCTTTGCTTTGCTTGACTGGTCTTGTGACCCCTTGTTCTCCCCCACTTTGCCTATGGGGGTGTGTCAAACATTATATATGTTATGCTTGTGTAGGCTACAGTGGGTTAGCCTATAGGGGGTACACAATTCTAGGGTTTCCTACTTGTACTCATTTCACTGCTAGTTCTTCATTCCTGTTCGCTTATTCTCACAACCACTAGATTCCGTCTAGTATGCGAGATCTGAGCGCTTCCGTTCTCCCAGGCATTTGCACTCTAAGTTCCCATACTGACCGACCTGGCCAATGCACCACCTTCCATATACATATGCCTTAGATTCCTTCTGAACCTTATTAGCTCACTAGATTTATATATTTCCCACCTTCTGATCGAGTGAGACCGCTAGATTCCCTTTACTTTTTGAGAAATGAGCGTTTCCGTTCTCCTTGGCCCTACTTGCACTATAAGTGCGAAATGCCGGCCAGACTGGCCGATGCACCATTTTCTCTACACATGTGCGTTAGTTACCTTTCAAACCCTTACGTTCACTAGATGAATTTATTTCCTACCTTCTATTTGAGTGAGACCACTAGATTCTGTGTACTATGCGAGATCTGAGCGCTTCCGTTCTCCCTGGCATTTGCACTCTAAGTTCCCATACTGACCGACCTGGCCAATGCACCATTTTCCATATACATATGCATTAGATTCCTTTCGAACCTTATTAGCTCACTAGATTTATATATTTCCCACCTTCTGATCGAATAAGACCGCTAGATTCCCTCTACTTTTTGAGAAATGAGCGTTTCCGTTCTCCTTGGCCCTACTTGCACTATGAGTGCGAAATGCCGGCCAGACTGGCCGATGCACCATTTTCTCTACACATGTGCGTTAGTTACCTTTCAAACCCTTACGTTCACTAGATGAATTTATTTCCTACCTTCTATTTGAGTGAGACCACTAGATTCCGTGTACTATGCGAGATCTGAGCGCTTCCGTTCTCCCTGACATTTGCACGCTAAGTTCCCATACTCACCGACCTGGCCAATGCACCATTTTCCATATACATATGCATTAGATTCCTTTCAAACCTTATTACCTCACTAGATTTATATATTTCCCACCTTCTGATCGAGTGAGACCACTAGATTCCCTCTTCTTTTTGAGAAATGAGCGTTTCCGTTCTCCTTGGCCCTAGTTGCATCATAAGTGCGAAATGCCGGCCAGACTGGCCGATGCACAATTTTCTCTACACATGTGCGTTAGTTACCTTTCAAACCCTTACGTTCACTAGATGAATATATTTCCTACTTTCTATTTGAGTGAGACCACTTGATTCCGTGTACTATGCGAGATCTGAGCGCTTCCGTTCTCCCTCGCATTTGCATTTTAAGTTCTGATACCGACCGACCTGGCCAATACACCATTTTCTCTATACATGTGCGTTGAATACATTTCAAACCTTTTTAGCTAACTAGATGTATATATTTCCCACCTTCTGATCGAGTGAGACCGTTAGATTCCCTCTACTTTTTGAGAAACGAGCGTTTCCGTTCTCCCTGGCCCCACCTGCACTATGAGTGCGAAATGCCGGCCAGACTGGCCGATGCACCATTTTCTCTACACATGTGCGTTAGTTACCTTTCAAACCCTTACGTTCACTAGATGAATATATTTCCTACCTTATATTTAAGTGAGACCACTAGATTCCGTGTATTATGCGAGATCTGAGCGGTTCCGTTCTCCCAGGCATTTGCACTCTAAGTTCCCATACTGACCGACCTGGCCAATGCACCACTTTCCATATACATATGCATTAGATTCCTTCCAAACCTTATTAGCTCACTAGATTTACATATTTCCCACCTTCTGATCGAGTGAGACCGCTAGATTCCCTTTACTTTTTGAGAAATGAGCGTTTCCGTTCTCCTTGGCCCTACTTGCACTATAAGTGCGAAATGCCGGCCAGACTGGCCGATGCACCATTTTCTCTATACATGTGCGTTAGTTACCTTTCAAATCC